ATAACGAGGAGCGCTGCCATATGCACGCTACCCTGGAAATCTGGTTACATCTAGTTGAAGTCCGAATTTTATTACGAGAAGCTAATATCACTATATATTGAGATGTTGATCTCTCTAATTAAATGCATGCATGCTGTCGATATCTTTTGTACGACAACCCTAAATAACATGTGTAATGCTCGTTGGCTAAACACGCATACATATAGTGCTTAAGACATTACTAGTACATAAAGCTTATTTCAAGAGCTCGAGGTTATGGGTTTGGTTCTGCTGGGCCAATAGACCCGCAAATTTGTGAGATCGAGAGTACCTCTTCAACCCGGGTACACACGGTAGTACAATTTGACAGCAGTATGTACGACGGTTACACAGCACTTCAGAGTCAGAACTCTGACCTATCATATTACTAAATCCCGAGCGAGAAGCACAATGGGAGAAATTTAAATCTGGACTACTAATACACATATGTACTGGGAAAACACATATTGCATATAGAGGCACTAATTAAACTGAGACTATCATGAAGAGTTTATCTGTGCTTCTCAACTATAGTATACTATGGACTGAGAATATATACATACAGTCGCAACTCGATATACCGGATTACCAAGATTCGAAGGATTTCATATATACGGGATAGTAAAAAATCCGGGATAGCAAATTGATTTTGCAGCAAAAAAAACCAAAACCCCAGAGGATTTCGTACGGGATAACAAGGGATCCGGCGTATTGAGATCCGACATATCGAGTTGCGACTGTATCTGTTAGGCCTAGTATTTTAATTTGGTACTGCAGATCATCTATTGCAATTGACTAAGGCTCGATCGAGCAATTATTACATGTTTAACTACACGTATATCATGCCAATTACAAGAGGCCTTTATCAGCACCAATAATATACTTAGTGAATTATAAAGAGCCGAAGGATTCTAAGGTAAATAATATGATTGGCTACTATTACCCGAACTTTCTCTGCTGTAAATATAGAACGATATCGATTAGATTGTACATGTATTCCCAAGGCACAGATAACATAGACAAGATGTGGGATATATTGGAAGTATAAGATAGCACATTTAGGCGAGTGGCTAGAGAAAACCTAGAGGTAAAGAATAGTTTCTGTTCAATCTTCATACTTCCAATTATGTTTAGTCATGCCTTGCGATTTTTCGTAACCTATAAGCTCAAATAAACCAGTATTAGAAGTTTTTTTATTGATATATGTACTTAGTTAGATGCAAGACATCAGAGAATTAAGTCTATAGTTTTTCAACTATTCTAGTAAGTTATAGCACTGGCCCTGCAACACAAGATTAAGGAGATCTAGATCTAGAATAATACCTCTGAAACGAGTTATTATTAATTCCATACCCCTACATATGAAGTTCTGTTATTGCCGTGTACTAGAGTTCACAGGACAGTTCAAATCCCTAGTAGCCCTTGTTTATAGTATCTACGTCACATACAAAACCCCCAAATCGATCCTTTCATGATGCAGTATATACAGCGGTAGGTAATAAGTGATGGAACACCCTGAGATACAGTTATACTGTTTGTGGCATTTTACCCAAAACAGGTATCACTGTGTCTCAGGGCGTTCCATCACTCATTACCTACCGCTGTACATGCTCACAAAGATACAATATTCTATATAGCGATACGTATAAATTAATGTGACTTGTGTAATATAATTATTGGTGAACTTATTATAAAGGATTATGTTTCTGTTGACTCGTGGATGAGGTAGGTGATAGGTCACATCGGTCCTTCATCTGGACCTTTCACTCATTGGCTTCGATTAATAGAGTACACAGCCAATGGCCAAGCTTCCTTCGCAACGATCTCGCCTATCTGGCAGCTATGATCTAATCTCAATAACCCCTCTTAGGGCCTGTTCGGTTGACACAAAAATCCATGGACTGCATATTGGGCCTAATAAAATGATTACCTCTAGAGGTGTTTTTTTTTTAATTCAATCCATGGATTGCAACTAATATTGCATATTTCTAGTTAGATTTAGATACATGTTGTCAGTTCGGACTCTGGGTCAACAATACAATACTACTGCCCTGGGTATGTGACAGACTTCCGATGAAAGAAATTATAGCTCCCATCATACTCTATGGGATTCTATGTAAGGTTCTTAAGAACCTTACATATGTAGATCTGCGGCTTATTGGATACATGTATGTATTGATATACAAGTACCTGAGTGTAGCATCTCTTTGTGCTTCCTAACCATCCAACCATGTTCCTTTATATATGTGGCACCAGTCAAAAAGATTCTGTCTCCGCACGTTGCCATTGCCCACCGCGTAGCGCGCTTAGCCCTCGGCTAGAAATGAACATGAAGCCTCAATCGCAATTCATCACAGCTGTACAGAAGATTTCTAATCGAACTTTCATTTCCTTTTCCTTAAAATACCCACCAAGAAGTTCGAATCATGAGTAGATTGCTGATCTTGTGATCCTTAGTTCGATTTTTGTTGCTGTATGTACGTGTTCGAAACCTTTGGAAACATTATCAAGGAGTCAAGTATCATGTTCCGCCTCCTTACCGTATGAATATCTCAAGGCCTATGAGTATATCCAATGGGGAGATGAGGTATGACGTATGGTACATATATCCGAGAAGGTTGGGAGGAAAACTGGAAAGATCGATCCAGTAGCAAGTGCATTACATATGACGTGTTAGGTCTGATTAGCGGTTTCCGGGTATTACGACTTGCACCATTAACATAACGATTGGTTCTCTTAGTAGGGCTGTAACTGTACTTACAATAAAGAGAGATCGGATCTTGAAGGTTGTCCATATTGTTTGATATAAATTGATCTTCGCCAATGTATCATCCTACACACCTATTCTTATTTAAATCCACACTTAGAATTCAATTCCCCACTATGGATTGGGTTCTCCGTTGAAAATGTCCCAAATGTGTCCGAACTAGACGTAAGAACCTTCGTCCCTTGCTGCAAGCTTCCATCCCCAAACACCACAACGTCAAAGAGAATAGTACACGTTTTAATTCTCCCCTCTCAATATCTCTCTGGTTTGCTCCATATGCGTTCTCAGGATTTATGTTCCCCGTGCAAATGAGAATTCAATGATCACGGACAGAGATCGATATTACTTCTCCTACTCTAATAATGCCTTAAGTTACTGACACGGGTTGTACGAAGAGCTTCCTTTTTCTTCATTTCTGTAATATGCCGTCCAGACGTATATGTAATCTGAATCCTTCGGTAGAAACATAGTGTTTTCTAATATCATAGAGAACGGGAGTCATTAATTTGGACGAGTAGAGAAGAAGGATTTCGATTAACCGGAGATCCTAGTATAATATGGTTTGAGAACGAATTATATTGTATCGGAAGATGGAGGGAGATCGGAGTAGAATATCTTTTTTCCTTTGAAAGAAACCCCATAGAGAATAACGATCTGCAATAAAATCATATCACTGCACTCCATATAAGTTTATATGACTATCGTTTCCTCTAACGCATGACTAAAGTTGCTCAACCTTTTTTCTCATTAGCCAGTTTTAGTAATAAATTCGGGTTCATAAACGTGAGCCACGAACTATAGGAAGCATATTTCTCGCGCTGATTGTACCTAGTAGGGTGTAGTTATATGGGCGGATCTTATGATGGTTAGCTGGACCCCTTGTGTTGCGGTTTTGGGCGTTTGATACCGTCACATATGTTACATGTACGATGCAGTTTCTACTCACGCGTGCCTAGTCGTGATCTACGAAAAGAAATTGCTATGTACTCACATCGCACCCATGATCGAAACCTCTCGCGAGCTCTTCTAGGTTAAGCATCCCCTAGTCGATTCATTATCGCGGCAGAATCCTGACACCCGTGGTCGCCATCCGAGATCGAGACGCTGTCTGCGCTTTTGTACCCTGGCGGAGGCACAGCATTCTACCACAGTGTTGTATCCATAGGGCTAGATGATGTGGTCCGAATAACCACTAATGTGCATGGCTAGAAATGCATGCCAAGATATATTATTACTCGGTCAGCTCTCAAAATTAAAAGCTCACCGAGGGGGATTCAAGGCCTTATTGATGGGTCAAGGGTTTATCCCTTAGTCTGGCAATGCTGACCCCCCTATAATAGAGGAATTAAATTTGTATGGGAGATCTATTATTTGATAAGAGAGACAACAGGATCTGTTAGTAAAGCCACACAAAAGTTTGCTTTTTTGGGGGGGGTCAGCATTTTTTGCCAGACGAAGGGATAGAGGTGGCTTGAACTGAACGAGTACAGGTCGGGGGGGAGGAGGAAGGGGGGGGCGTGGCTGAGGAATGTGCTGAGTGGTTGCATTACAGTTCCGACTCGTAGTGAACACAGTGTGTTTAAGTGGCCAGTGCAAACTGTAGCAGGGGTTATCCACACACGAAACTTATAGGGTTAGGGTTACATTAGCTCAGCTTTGTCGTGCACAACATCTCAACCATACAAACACGTTCTCCTAGTATCGTACCAAATATCGTGGTTTGTTGAATATCACCGTGAATACTCTAGAGATAGATAAGGATCAATATACACTTAAATTGGAGATTAAATAACGACCAGCCAGGATGGCTATTGGTGTCGAAACTCGTTCCGCAGTGGGTGGCGCATACGACGAAAAAGATTGTCTCTTCGTACGTTATAACACCATCGATAAGTGCCTTTTAACTCTCACGGTGTATCATCGTAAAAGCTAATATCATACATTGCTACTATCTCTCATGATCACAGTTGTATCTGGTAGAAATCACCAGAAAGGGACCCACAGGCTAAAATTAACTTGGATTCAACGAGTACCACCAGAATAGAAGTCTATTACCGCAGGGTTGAAATAACATGATATATGGCTAAAAGAAACTCTGGAGAAAGAACTTGTTTACTTTTGGAGACCTGTCTCAGACTGTTGTGTTGTTGAAACTTGAGCGAGAACAAGTTCATCATCATCAACAATCACTCGATAATATCAGCGAAACTAATTTCTAATACCCTACCGCATGTCCATCACCTCTCAGATCACTCCCCGCACTCAATATTCTTTTACCATCAGGGCAATGTTTCACCCTTATAACCTGACCTCTCCCGAACACGCCTCTACTCCATCCTGTCACCACAACCACATTATGCCCCAGGTTCCTCAATTTTTCCACCGTCTCCTCACTAATCCCCTCCTCGATCTGTACCAGCGGATGACTTGGATCATATCCACCACCCACACAGATCCTAGGCGCATCTAAAGCCTGCTGCACCGACATACCCCACACACACGTATTGAGAAATACCTGCACGTGTCCTTGGGGCTGCATGTACCCGCCCATGACACCAAACGCTGTGTGGAGCTCTCCCGTCTTTGCATCCGTTATCAGCGCCGGTATAATGGTGTGATAAGGCCTCTTTGATGGTGCAAGTACGTTGGGATGGCCTGCAGAGAGAGAGAAGCCGGACCCGCGATTCTGGAGAGTGAACCCGCAGCCTTTTGGAATGATGGCACTACCAAAGCCGGCATAGTTGGAATTGATGAAGGAAGCCGCATTACCTTGCCCATCAACGACGGTGAAGTATACCGTGTCACTAGAGCGAAGTGCGGGGGAACCATGGGCCGGTGTTTTTGTGGCGACAGAGGGGTCGAAGAGTTTTGAGCGGGCGGCTAGGTACTCCTACGCCAGTTAGTAGCTGCGAGTGAGGGCTTGTGATGGGGGGATTACTTTATCCAGGAGGCCCTCTGTGGGGACTTTACTATGCGCAGGGTCGGCGATAAACCAGTGACCGTCTGCAAAGGCGATTTTCAAGCTCTCTATTATCGCATGAAGATACCTATCGGCTTATTAGTACTCACCTCCTGCCATTAACCACTCATGATAAAGTACTAACTCTGCAGAATTATGCGCATGGCTGCCCTCTTTCCCAATATCCGGGACCACACCTCTCTCCTGCAGGCTTTCTAGGATTCCCAACGCCATCAGGGCCACAATTCCCTGTCCATTCGGCGCATGCTCCCATAGCTTCAACCCTGTCCTTTCATACACCAACCCCACCGCCTCCGTCTCCTCGCTCCCTACCTCGCCCATTTTCTTCAGATCCTCCAGTTCCATTACTCCTCCCCGGGACTTGAGCACCTCAACCAGCGCCTCTGCAATCCAACCCTCATAGAAACCCTTCCTCCCCTTTTCTCCCAGCTCACGATAAACCTTCGCCAGGTTTGACAATCTGATAACCTCTCCCTCCCTCGGCGCCCGCCCATCAATTAGCATCTCCCCTGAATTTGGAGACGCACCAACCAATCGCTCAACTCCGAGCGCCCAGTTCGTCGCTGTTACCTCACTTACAGGGTAGCCGTCCTCTGCGAGCCGTATCGCATCCGCCAGCACCTCCCTCAGCGTAAATTTTCCAGACCCAAACCGCTCCACGGTATCGCACCAAGCCGAAGCTGCGCCAGGGACTGTGACCGAGTGTACGTGCGTCATTGGAATACGGTCCTGTGATCGCTCAGCGGCGGGGATGTCGGCGAGGGCTCTCTCGAGGGTCAATGCCGCCGGAGAGCGCCCAGAGGCGTTGAGCCCGTGAATCTTTTTGGTACTCGCGTTGTAGAAGAGACAAAAGGCATCGCCACCAATACCGGTAGAGGTGGGCTCGGTTACGTTAAGGCAGGAAGCTGCGTGGGTTAGCTGGAGAGCTGGAGAGGGAACTGGTGGTTTGCATTGGGGGGGTGCAGGCTAGATCCTCCGACCACCAGTATGCCATTCCCACTACAGAGACATAACTAACCTACAGCGATAACAGCATCAGCGGCATTACCGCCTGCTTGAAGAATTCTCAGACCAGCTTGCGCCGCGAGAGGCTGTGTACACGAGACAATGCCATTTGTACTGTGTACAACAGAGCGCCGCGAGGGGTAGGGCGCAAAGGCTCGGCCATGGAGACCTTTGTCTGATATGTCGGGGATGTGGTTATCCATTACGTTGGGAGTGATCTTTGGAATGGCGAAGTTGTATCTCACCTATCCTATCTATCTATGCTTCGGTATAATGTGGGGGAAGGCAGCACTAATATATATGCAAGTCGATCAATGGCGGGGGCGGGGATAGCCGAGAACGCAGATTCCAGATCGGCAATAGTACGTTTGGGCTTCTCTCAAACTCTACCCGCGGTCTCCCCCGATCTCCTTTTTACCGAGGCTTGATAACCTGTTTTAAGTATCATTGCGGGGGAAGTCCTCTACGGAGTCACTTGCTCTCTCTCTCTATCCATTGGGTAATGGTAACTGTTTGGGATCGATACTTGGGGATCCGGAGGAGGGAGCGAAGCATGCATACTTCCGCCCGTTCCCCGGAGGAGCGAGTGATGGTATATGTTTGCATGCTCTACTGGAAATGATCTGGGGGTAGGAAATTTTTGCGCGCCTAGATATCTAGCCTAGCTAGCCTGGTTGATTTGGTTGGCGGCGGCGGGTTTTTTCATTAACCCCCCACACTCCAAGACTACTAATAAGTGCTAATACTAATACTAGTACAGTGCCAATACTAACACTAGCCCGACTAATATATAAGTAACTAATTCCAACACCCGCAGTAATAATAAGAAGAAGGAGAAGAAGAAAAAGGTATCATTAAATTGCCATAAAAAATCATTACCATATCTATCGTGATACTTAATGATGCCCCCTCTGCCTTCCCCCCGCCTCAAGCCCTGCCTCCAGCCTCCTAAACACCATCTCCCCCACCGCCAGCCCGACAACAACAGCAAAGAAGTAAACCTACCACACATCAGCCCCCGTTCCCAAAAGCAAACGTACACAAAACACAAAAACGAAGGGGGAAAAAACTTACCACAACAAAACTCATAACGACCAACATAAGCCCATACCCCACCACCGCCGTTAGAAGCTCGAGAGCGCCACGCCCTCCATCACGAGTAATGGAGAACGGCTGCGCATACGTATGCCCATGCTCCTTGTTGGAAGCGGCCCAGACGGTGGCCTCGAGGCGTGCCTTGAGGAAGGTGAGCCCGCGATAGAGGATGGCCGTGCTGAAGATGAGGAGCCAGATGCCAAAGAGGGAGGCGGGCGTGGTGGGAAGGAGGTGCGGGAAGAGGAGGGGGTGGTGGGGAAGGTTGTGGTGAAGGTGGTCATGGACATGGACATGGACATGGAGGTTGATGTGGCCATGGACATTGTGGTTGAAGTTGAGGTGGCCATGTTCATGGCAGTGGTGGTGGCCGTGGCCATGACCATTGACATTGACATGTCCATATCCATTTTGGTGAAGTGGGATGAGGTGAGTGGGATGAGGTGAGTGGGATGAGGTGAGCGAGGTGATGTGGGAAGAAGAGAGATGAAGATAGATGTAAATAAAAGTAGGTATGGATTGCAGTTGTGGGTATCTTTCTATGTGTCCCCTACAGATATGCAAACTGCCCTGTCTTTTAGAGATACGATAAAGACGGCGGTGGTACTATGTCGGTATTATGTACACCCACCAGCTAACTACAACTTCCAAAAGGTCTCTGCATAAAAATATCTGCTCACACCCCCGAAAACATCCCTTAAAACCCTCTCTCGGTTCTCTCGATTCTAAACACCTACCTACTTACGCACCACCTCACAAATTGTAAAGAGAGAAGGGAAAAAAAAACTAGCTCAAATAAACTCAGACAAGGGTTTGTTCCAAAAGCGGTTTAGTAGTGACTTAGTAACCTGCTCAATTATCTACCTTAGTTGCATCTCCTCCAATCAAGAGGGGCGGATAGTCGGCATAGGAGAGGAATCCTTCTCGTTGCACACGCGTGTGATTGTATAAGCTTTTTAGTAGCAGTTAGTTAGTTGGTAGTTAATAACTAGATACTGTGCTTGATAGAGTCGTCTGAAATGAAATTCAAGCATCTCATAACGAACCAACCCGGGAAATTGGCACTGCGTTTGATATGTGTGTTAGTGAAGTAGATTAGTTATTATCCAGACCTGTCGTCTGTAGGTAGTGAAGAGGTAATGAGAGGCGATATATATATCACCGCCTCTTGGCTCCCAATATCAGTACTCAATACCCTCAATCCCAATATCTGCAAACTAATTTCCAAGACTTCTATATGAAGTCTACACTTTCCCGCCGAATGGACATGACAAATACCTCTTCGGCCGCCATTGAAGCCGCCCAAATCCTCGATCCATGGACCGGTCAATGGAAATATCCACGCGCCCTCATCATCTTCCTATGCGCAATCGTAGCCATTTTTATGCTTCTACACATATCCCAATTCCTCCGCGATCGCCGCCGTCTCTCTTCAAAATCTAGGAAAGCTACGCTTTCCCTCTATGACCGCACTGCCGCCGTTCTGCGTAGTCTGATATATAGACGTCCGTTGCACGGTGCTCCAGCACTCGGCCCGGTGATACTCATTGTGTCTCTTCTGGTATTTACATTGGTGTGGACGTTCGCTGTACAGCCTTACTACCGCCCGTTACGATCTGGGGGCTCGCCGCCGTTGTCGTTGCGGTCGGGATTGTTTGCGGTGGGGTTGACGCCAATGGTATATTTGTTGGCCTTTAAGGCTAACATTGTAACATATCTCACGGGTGTGTCACATGAGAAGCTGAATGTGCTGCATAGATGGGGAGCAAGGTTGATTCTGTTCCTGGGCGTGGTGCATACAATCCCATTTCTCGTGCAACCACTGCGGGAGGGTGGGTATGCGGAACTAAAGAGTGTATGGGCGGAGGATAACATGAACGTAACGGGATGTGCGGCATTGGCGGCGTTGGTGGTGTTGGTAGGCGGTAGTTGCGTCCCATTAAGGTATGTATTCTGAGTATTCTTTTGGGATTGTTAGTAGTAAGTGTACTGATAGTAAACTGTGCAGAAAATACTGCTATGAGCTGTTTGTGGGCACGCATATACTCTCGGCGTTCCTCTATCTGGCGTTCATTTTCTGGCACTGCGAGGATCTTCTCACGTCATGGACATATCTGTGGGCCACCGCTGCTCTCTGGCTCGCAAGTGTGCTCCTCCGCTTCATGAATACCACTTTCAATGCTGCACTTCCATGCACACTCCAGGTCCTCCCTGGCGGCGCCGTCATGGTCACGATACCAACTACACATATATGGACGCCCGCACAGCACGTATTCCTGCGTTTCCCGGGTCTATCGGTCTTTGATAACCACCCGTTCTCTGTATGCAGTGTTTCCGAGAACAGTGATGAGCTGAACACACTGGTAGTGGTTGTGAGGCCGCGCTCGGGATTTACGCGGCGGCTGTTTCTGGCTGCAGCAGAGGACGGGCCAGAGGCGGCGATGCGGGTGGTGGTGGACGGGCCGTATGGTGGTGTCCCGAGGGCGGTAGAATCGTTCCAAGGGATTGTGTTGGTCGCGGGGGGGAGTGGAGTCACGGCTGTAGTGGGAGTGTTGTCGTGGCTGGTGAGGTGTATGAGAAGGGGAGAGGGGTGCGTTGAGAAGATAAAGCTGGTGTGGGCGGTGAAGGATCGGCGGGTGTTGGCGTGGTTTGAGGGTCAGGTTGCAGAGGCGGTTGCGATGGCGGGAGTTGAGTGTCGTTTTTTTATTACCGGGCACGAGGAGGAGAGTGAGAAAATGGAGGCGGTTGATGGAGTGGAGATTGCAAAGGGAAGGCCAGATTGTGGACGAATGCTGGAGGAATGGGTTGGAGAGATGGGTGAGAGAGTCTGCGTAGTTGGTATGATACGTATACCCTGCTCTGTCTCGAGATTAAAGAACTATGCTAATAGGTCAATTGTCTTGGTGTAGCTTCGGGCCTCAAGGGTTGAGGAGCGATGTTGCGAACAGTGTTGCCGGGCTGCAGACGAAGGTCAATGATCGTGAGAGCGGGTTGCAGGAGCTGTATCTGCATACGGAGGCGTTTGATTGGTAGACTGGCTTATGTTTGCTCTTTAATTAGCATTATTATGATGAGATGGCTTGATTTAATATGAATTTTATCTAAAAACTGATGGTTAAAAAGAAATATTAGAAAGGAGGAACAAACGTACATGTATGTCTGGATGATCGATGGCCGGAAATTCGCCAAGATACTAGCAGGTCTATATCCCCTCCTAACCGTCAGCAATCCACAACAGCATCCATCAGGACTGCAGTATTGCTTGTGTTAGATCCTTCTCTCCAGCATGGCGGATAGGTGGACCGGCGAAAAGTGTTGTGATGTGATGGACGCAATCCAGCTAGCCGCTGATCTGGAAATTCCTACAACTAACGACAAATATTCTCTTGCCACCAGCAGAACTGCCTATGTGACATGATTTCTTCTATCTGTGCCAGGTCATTGCGGTCAATTGACCGTATTGTTGTCAACGTTTCATCATATAGTTTCTCTAAATTATATATAGATATAAAGAGGTACTTTCTCTCCGTCTTTCTGTGTTTTATCACCAGTTCTTACACAATAGACTCCATCCATGGGCTTTTTACTACTTCCAAGTACAGTATTGATTGTGGTCGGTCATTGCGGCCGTGGATGTTAACGATTGTATTGTTAAACGTTAATGTTTCATTATGTAATTTGGACACGGTCCCAAACTATCTGTAATTTTATATTAAAGGCAATTTGGCCTCTAAACTGTAAATATAAAGAGGGAGCTCTTGCTCGCCCCCCTTGTTTTCTACTCATCAGTTCACAATATATTTTCTACGTTCACTGTTTACTTTGCTTCAAGATCATCTCTGAAAACATAAAAATCACCTCAACAAACATTCTACGTATTGACAGAACATTCAGGTGCTTCCTTGTCATAACAGTTTTATGTCGTTTTCATCGTTAGTCAAGGATATAAGCAGTCAGCCGATGGAGTACATGAGTTACGCAGGTTTTCATACACAATCACTCGGTCAAAGTAACATCGGCTACTTACTGGAAACACGCTTAGTCATGAACTGAGCGTGGCTCCCGTTCTAGGCTCGACATATGAAAGAGCGCACACCGCATAAGACTCTCTCGCCCACAAGGGCAAAAACGCAACTCCAGCCTTCTAACCCCCGGTCCGTTTGCCCCGCAAAGTAAGATTTCTGTCCTCCCACCCTCGCATCATCTCCCCACAACGACCCTTCCAACCATCTAGTAAGTCCATGCATCGACAGTACCACAGAGCTATGTACAAACAAATACCACTTTAGGTCAGCGTCTATGAATGTCTGGGTCCTGTCTCGGTCCCGCGCATCACATCACCATGTATCACTCGGAACTCTAACAAAGCGTGGCACCGGTGACGCCCGAGACATCTTCTAATTCTTCAGCTCACCCGTAGACCAGGGTGATGCAGGCACAACACGATCTATACAACCCCGCCCCCCGTCATGTCAGCTTCAGCCCTAAGGCCTAACTTCGAGAGTGATTACTCAACATGATACCGGTGTGGGAGGAACGACTGAAACATATGATGTGTCCAGCCAGGTTGGGTGCATGCAGCCTTATCCTTATGAGTCGGTCCCAGCTAAAAATTGCAACGGGACGGAGAAGCACTTCTTTCTCGCAAAGGACAACCTGGTCAATACGGGTGCTGCTAACCGAAGTTCAAGACGGCATCTTCGTTGATCTGTGAGAAAGCCTCAGCGCGCATGATTTGAAGGTTTGTTAATTTGCACTTTTGAGGGCAGTGGTTGGGTGGAAGGAAGGAAGCGTTGGTTCCGGCAACGTCTGATTTCAGGTCCTATTGGCGATGTTAGCTGTTTGGAGGCGACCTGGAAGCTGCTATGCGGCTGCCGCCGCCGCTCAGTTAAGAGGTGTTAGTTTAAGTATATCACTACGTACGTTGGTGTCCCGAAACTCAAGTAAAGGCTGTGAGTGCTGAATTTAGGGTGAATGCGCGGGTGTAACTGAACGGATCTGCACCTAGAGTAGGCAGCCGTCGAGGGGCGAATAGATCTCTCCAGATCGACAACCTAACCTTAGGGTCAGAACACTAGCCACAAAATAATGTATGGACAAGTTCTAAAATACATTTAGGACTAGAATTTAAAAATCTGGTTTTAGGAAAATGCGAAAACCGGGCGGCTAAGCCCGCTGCAGGTGGCCCATGCCAAGACTTACGACTTTTTACCCTTTTCGGATGGTGTTTTGCTATGAAGTAAACCCCGGGGCAGAATGGTCTAGTAGTTCCCTGAATGGTTCAAATTCACTGAGTGCTGGTTCAAATTATCACGTTGAAGGGTTACTTCAAGCGCAAATAATTTTAGCATAGTCATAAACTTTGATAAACCTTGATATTCTCTGGATCTTCCTCATCTGCCATGACTATTTCTTGAGCGCCAGACCGCTTACCTATCCTTAGATGTGGATGTTATTCCGCGCAGAGCAAGAATCAAGTGGTCCAGAAAAACCCTATAGTTAATCACAGAATATCACTCGACAACCAAGCCTTCTTGGCAAACAGTGATTACTAGCGCTTTGGCGTAGTCAGCTGAACGTCTACCGAGCCCGCCTTTGTCATGTAGTACGAAAAGTGCTTGGCACAAGATGGTACATGTAGTTAGCTCATTGTTAGCTCAATATGGAACTTTCAACTTCTTCTGCGCGGGGTGCGCTGGGAGAAGAGTTGCGCTCTCGTAAGGTCTACTGTTAATTACAATTTGTAAAAGAGTTACGCTACTGTTACCTAGTAACATTCAGACCTAGGGATTAACGAATGCCTTCGGAGATCTAGCTATTCGCCACGGTGCGTGTTAGTTTTAAATGGCACCCCGATTTCCCTCTAGATAAGACAAGTTCTTTCGGGAGTGCTAACTGTTCACGTTCGTCCAGGCTCGTATGATTTTTATAAGGGCAGAGGATTGGAGGTCGCCGGTGGTTACCTCCATCACTATGTCGTACTAACTACAAACAAACCATTGGGGAAAGCTCCTCGGTATCAAGAGGGAAAAAACTAATTGCTTAAACATTGCAGAAGACACATATGTCGATACTAGATGCAAACTAATTATAACTCAAAATAAAACCCCCTCCATACCCCGCCTCCCCTCTTCTTCGGCCTTCTCTCCTTTTTGTTTTTATATCACTCCGTCAGTCATTACATTCCCCCAACAGACGAGATCCCTTTCCCCAAGAACCACATCTCACTATGCATTTCCTACTCCTCCCCGCCATCCTCCTCATCCCTACTGCTCTCGCCCAGCCAGCGATCCCCTACCCTCTCCCCTGGCAAGAAGTCCCAGCCCCTCCTCCCCAACAACAACAGCCTGTCGAACCCCCCTCCGCATACGACGTCCTCCTCCCCATCGTCAACGAAGCGCTCCAGAAGCCAAAAGGATGGGCCACCAATGACCCTGCAGCCGAGGGCGAAATCGACGTGAGTGCCGAGGACCTCGAGTTTTTGACCCCGAAATCAAACGTCAAGTTCAGCCAGGACGACAACATCAAGCAATGGTTCTCCCCGCTCGGCGGCAACTTTAAGAAATTCATGGACTCCATGAAGACCAGGAACGAGGAGGCCCGCGCGGCGCAGAAAGCAGCGGAAGCCGAAGAAGAAGAAGCTCAGAACCACCTGGAAAGGCGTGCAATCCCAAGCATGTTCAACAAGGGCAAAAAGACACAGCCCGAACCCGAGCCCACACCAGAGCCGGAGCCGGAGCCAGAGCCGACCCTAGAACAGCAGCAGGCAGAGGAGGAGCTTGACAATCTCGAGCTCAACGAGGTCAAGATCACCAACGAGGAGTTTGACCAGCTATTCAAGGACTACGCGTCGCGGTATGAGCGGGCCCAGACCTTCCAGGGCCTCCAGGGCCACCTCGACACCATCCTCCTACCGGGAAACGTGGCCTACAACCCTGAGGACAAGCCGTGGAAGCAGCGGCCCGGGCGCGGGCGGCGGCAGCAGCTGGCGAGACGGAATGGGGGCGGCGGCGGCGGATCATCGGGTACCACCCCCAGCTATCTGTGGACCCCCGAGTCGGAGAAGATTGGCGTGAGGCCCGTGAGCTCGATTAACCCGGAGATCTTCAATCGCATTGCGGCCGAGTATAGGTTCGGACAGGACCCGACCAGCATCAACCACGAGGAGAACATCGGCAAGGGCGCTGCCTTTGCGGGGAAGACACAGTCACAGCAGCAGCAGCAGCAGGGAGGAAAGGGCGCCACCGCCGGCGGAAAGGGAAAGTAGGTTTGTGTGCAAGTCGGTGATTGTGCTCCTGTTGGTTGCGTTTGTGTTTTGGGGCAGGGAGAGGATTGTGTCGATGGGGTGTCTGGTTTATTGTTTTTTTTATGTGGTGGCGGTCATTACCGTGAGATAGAGAGGGTAGAAAAAAAGTCGGGGGAAATGAATTTGTAACATATTAGATATAGAATGCAATGATTTTTGGTTTTGCCGTGTTTATTGGGGAAGTTTGGTTCTGCTACACTCTCACTGTTGAGAGTAGGCTAGCACCATTCTAGAGTATACAAAATACTCTCTGTAGGCCCTCCGCCGGCAGCCGACATATTCAGTCCTCCCCCGCGAGTCTTCTATAAAGGGAAAATCCTAGCCCACTTGAAGCAAGAGCAGTATCACCGTGCCAATAACCACACCACATCCAGCCCGTAACCCAAAACATCCACCCCAAACCAACCCCCCCAAACTTCTCCGAGTGATACCTCATGATTCATTATCTACATAACCCCTATCTCAGCGGGAAAATAAAAACACACACAATCCCCAAGATGCAACACTAAGCCTCTTCCATCTCATCCAACAGTCTCCTCGCGCTCTCGGGCAGCCTCATGAACCCCTCTTCCTCGCCCCCGCCAACAATCCGACCAAACACCCCCCGCGCCTCCTCCACGGCGCCGTCATCGAACACAACGCCTGGCTCCTCGGGGGCTAGATACACCACCCCCTCTGCATCCTCACCTGTGTTTGTAGGCGAAAAGTGAGTCTGGGTGTAGAACAGCGAGAGCAACACCCCCGGCGGCACCTCCTGGCTCTGTAGCAGCCGCGACACGGCAGTGCTGATGGCGGCGTAGCTGTGGGTTGTTGATGCGTAGAGGAGCGCTATAAACAAGTGTTAGTAACTACTACAGTGGTAACGGGGGGGGTAAGACGTACTATGCCCACGCGGGCACTCGCCCGTCACCCACGAGCGCGCAAGGATATACACCGGCACCGCGGCACCACCCTCCTCCGCCACAGGGACCATGAGCACTGCGGCGGCGGGCGTGATGGCCTCGTCGGCGTACTTCTTCTGGAAGAGCGTGGGCAGGTCGGCGGTGAGGATGTAGGCTGCTCTGTATAACGCTGTTGGTTGTTCTGTGGCGGTGGTGGTGGGTTGCGGGGCGGAGGAAGGCGGAGTAGGAGTGGAAGGGAGGTCCGAGGGACTGCCAATGATCCAGTCCACGCCTATCTCCTCGCCGTTGTCCAGCGCCACTTTATACCTCCTCCTCCGCTGCTTCCCCCCCGCTTCCTCTTCCCCCTGCTCCTGCTCCTTCTCCGCGGGCCTAACCGCACTGACACCGCGGCCGAGCACATTGACGCCCCCCGCGACAGCAGCAGCGCGCGAAAAGACCTGACACAGCTCCGCGGAGCCGCCGTAGGCGACCGTGAGTGCGGCGGCGGAGCGGACGTCGGGGATGTTTCCGAGGGAGCGGAAGTGGCGTGCGAGTGCCGGGAGGGCGGTGGACAGCGGGGTGGTGGCGGGGGGCGTGGGGAGGAGCGAGAGGGAGGAGAGGGAGGTTGTTGCAGAGGGGGGAGGGGGAAGAGGGTTGTGAGGAGGGTTGTGAGCGGTTTGGTTTTGTATTCTGTGGGGGGTTAGAAGGGGGTGGACTAGAGGGGGGGAGGGAGGGAGGGGAGGTACCTGTGAAGATGTCGCGGTGCTTCTGGTCGGCGGGGTCGGGGGAGTCGTGTTTCATGACGAAGCGGAGGAACTCGCCCAGGTAGCCGCGGTCCCGGTCTGAGAGATCTTTACTCCACGCCACGTCCTCGAACGTGCAAGCCACCTCCCTAAACCCGCCCATCTTTCTCAGCGTCGTCGTCGCGCCCTCCTCCTGCAGCGGCGGCGGCGGATCTGCCACCGCAGCTCCCTCACCCTCACCCACAGTCTCCTCCTCCGCCGCCGCCGTCTTCTTCCTCCCCTTATTCCACCTCTTCTTCCCCGCCGCCACCGCCTTCGCCGCCTTGACCCCCGCATCCATCAACAACGCCCCGCCCCCACCACCCGCAGCAGCAGCAGCAGCAGCAGCAGCAGGCACAGCAACCTCCTCATCCGTCAACCACACCCACCAGCTCCCCACGGCCTGCCACGAAAACGACTCCGCCATGTCCGCCGCGCGCAGCATCCGCAGCAGCGCGCTGTCCCAGTACACCAAGTCCGGCGCCAGCGACAGGGTGAACCCGCGCCCGAGCACGCCGCCGACCAGCTCGGCGTGGGAGAAGCCGGCTTCGTGCCCGGCGTTGACGCGGGCGGTCCAGGTGGTGATGTCGGAGTGGGTGTAGAAGGCCGTGCTGGAGCCGCCGTAGTAGGCGTTGTGGTCGATTTGGAGGACGGTTCGGCCGGCGCGGGATAGTGCTCTGCGGGGGGGGGTTAGCTAGGTGGTGGTGGAGGGGGTGGGGGGGGGATGTACACGGCGAGGAGGGATTGCTTGATCCCGCTGCCGGTGATGAGGATGTCCCAGTCGGTCGAGGGGAGAGGCGGGTTATCGGTGAACGACATTGTGCGGGTTTGGTCGGGAGGTTTGTCTTTAGAGTGGAGGCTTGAGATGTGGTGGCGTGACGGGATTGTGCTCAGAGTGGGGTGTCACGTGGTGATAGGAGAGTCTTGGCGGGGGACCATGTTGTCACGCTTAAAGATAGAGTAGACGATGATAGAGGAGAGGAAGAGGCCTCTTACTACGAAGGTATACCAGCCTGTCTGATCCATCTGCTCTGCTCACAGTGTCGAGTGTTCTCTCTTCTACAATTCTCTCCAGCCGTGAATACACAGGGACATCCAACCCTTGTGGGCAGTCTCGCACCCGCGCCGACATCGCTTTGTGTGGGGGCCTGCACTTGGTTACTCGGGCCCTGTTACGGCTGACACCTTATCGTCGTGTCTACAGGTCGTATAACCCCAGAGCGAGGATGTCCTCCATGGTCCTTCAAGTATGATTCGCAGCCTGGGCTGTCGCATTCTGATCGAAGGGCTGTATTGTGTTTCCCCCAACCCTCCTCTGCAGTGAAACGAAATTCATCTACGCACACATACTGATACTTGTCTGTATGGCAGTGCGTACGTAGCGGCTACAGTGCTACTTACGGTGTTCGGAACACTTGCCTGCAGCTTCAATCCCCCACATCTCCATCCCCTCAACGTCCCTCGTTATTATCCACAGCTTCTTGATATCCGCAGCTTGATATCCGCAGCTTCTTGAAGATGACAGGCACAAACACGAAGGTGGCTACCGGTGGTGGAAGGGAAAGGGGCGGGGACTACTCTCCGCTGGACTCTAAAGAGCCTGTGAAAACAATGAGACCTAAAGGTATCTATCTATATATACTTACTACCTTTCTCACCCCCCCCAATATCTGCCCGACTGACTGGCAGCTCTAGATACCGCCTGGCTTCAACAACGGATAAAGGCATGGAGGTAATCTCACCATTAACTCAAACCCTCATTGTGCTTGCTTCCCCGCTAACCTTAATTCCAGCCCTCTAATCACCGCTCCCTGGACGATCCCCATCTTCTTCATCCTCGCGGTCATCTTCGCCCCCATCGGCGGCCTCCTCCTCTACACCTCCGCCCAGGTCCAGGAGCTCACAATCGACTACACCCACTGCCTGACCAGCGCCAACGACACAATGTCTCCCATCCCGCGCAGCTCCTTCAGCACCTACTTCCACACGCCGCTCACCCCCGCCGACCTCGACGCCTACCGCTGGCGCTCCAGCCCCGCCACCAAGACCTGCACCCTGCAGTTCACCATCCCCTCCAACTTCACCCCGCCAGTGCTCTTTCGCTACAAGCTCACAAACCTGCACACCAACCACCGCCGCTTCGTCATGTCCCTCGACCGCGCGCAGCTCATGGGCGAAGCCCGCACCCGCGACGAGCTCATGAGCCACTCGGACACCAACTTCCGCTGCAACCCGCTGTACGCCAACAGCGCCGGCATCCCCTACTACCCCTGCGGCGAGATTGCAAACTCCATGTTCAACGACACCTTCCACGCGCCCGTGCGCGCCGCCGACGGCCACGTCTACCCCATCACCTCGCGCGGCATCGCCTGGCCGCACGACCGCGCGCTCTACCGCCCCACCGCCTATAAACCCGCGGACGTCGTGCCGCCGCCGTTCTGGGAGGAGGCCTTCCCGCAGGGCTACAACAGCAGCAACATGCCGAACCTGCAGGACTGGGAGGAGTTTCATGTTTGGATGCGGCCCGCGGGGCTGGCGAGGTTTAGTCGCCTGGCGAAGCGTAATGATCACAATGTGCTGGGCGCGGGGGTGTGGCAGATGAATGTCACGTCGCGCTTCAGCACGCAAGGGTATAATGGGCGCAAGGCGCTCGTGCTGACGACGAGCAGTGCGATGGGCGGGAGGGGCACGGAGCTCGGGTGGGCGTATGTGGTTTCGGCGGTGGTGTGTGCCGTGCTGGGCGTGGGTATGACGGCGGGGGTGTTGGGGGTGCCGAGGTGAGTTTCTGCGTTCTGAGATGGAGAGGAGAACTGGTGGAGGTGAGGTGCTGACTTTTGATAGGCAATTGGGGGATCCGGCGGGTTTGTCGTGGAATAGGCCGGATTGCTATGTAGTCAGGGACGGGAGAGAGTGCGGGTCGCTGTGGGAGCGGTGGGTTAATTATTGTCACCGGAATGGGTTTCCTTGATCAATGTAGAGGTAGTGTGGTGGTAGGACTAAAACTTGCTGTCTGTCTGTTGCTTTTGAGTAGTGTAATATTATTAGCCTTTTTTTTTCTTCTTTCTTTTTTTTTTCTTTCTTTTTCTTCTTTTTGTGCGTGACTGGAGTTCTTGGGTGCTGTTGAAGGTGTTGGTTGTTGGTAGTAATGATTGTGGATTGTGGCCGACTGACCCCTAACCCTGGCCGTGCAGACCGAGTGATAGTTGGGTGAATGGGAGGTTTGGGCGAGATGAAAAAGCTAGAATTGATACAATATGATAGACACTCTGTCTCTGCCCTGTTCGTCCAACAAGCTGGTACCGGCGCTGCAACGAGAAACAGAAGCGGGGCCCTGAAAAATTGTAATAACGGGCACAAGACAAGACGAGACGAGACGAGACGAGACGAGACCAACCTGCTCATCTTGTCTTGCCTTCTCTCGTTCCATGATGAACCATAGTCTTCGAAGGGTCTCGAGATCTATTCATAGCTACTTTATAGGCCAGACTCAATTAATCGGGATTGGATTTGAGGTACTATGTACAGCGCCATGTCGTAAATGATCGCACGGCGTGAGGTCGCAACGCCGCAACGCCGCAACGCCTGACTGCAATGCCTGACCACAAATTTTTTCCACAACCACCGATGGCGCCCAGAGACAGTGTACCCCGTGCTCCTACAACTACTAAGTTTGTAAGGGTATACACCACAACCCTCACAACTCAGCGGTTGGAGGAGTGTGGGGTAGATGTTCTGGAGGACTGACTAGCTTGCCTGTTCCCCTGACTCAATAAATCGCCATTGAACATGTTTGAGTACATCTCAAGAAGCTTTACCATCAACACTATACTACCCCCATTTAGGAATATGATGCTAGATTACCTCAAGTATTGAAGCCCCGCGTGGAGGAAGGTCTAATTCATTGCTGGGAACTGTTATCTGATGGTACATGGTTTATTCTCTGGAGATTTGGTAGCTAGTATAGTTGAGAGCATGCCTAGGAGAATAGAGTTGTTATAAAGGCAAGGGGTTGGTATACAGGATATTAAATGTCCAATTATCTTTATTTAGCTACTATTGAACAACTATACAAAAAAACAGCTCTCCAAAGGGTCAATTGTGGTTGCTGGGTGGGTAGTCATGATGGGGCGTGAGGTGTCGAAACCCGTTGCTACGCCGCCCCATACGATGATTTACGACCCAGAACTATACATATCCGGCCATGCGTTTCAAGGGGTTGTAGATACATGTATACATGCAATACCTAAACCGGTACCCGTTATTGTAATAATGTTTTAAGAACGCACGGGGCACTGGGCCCGCGGGGGGGGGGGGGGGGGGCAGAGATTCTAGCTTGGTAGAGTTCGGGGCTACAACTTGAAGTAGGTTTAGGGTGCATATCCGATTTTCTTTTTTGGGGGGTTCAGAAGCTTACTTGTAACTACAAGTAGCTAGCTGAGGATATATATACCTATGAGGGGGCCTATGTACTAGATATAGCTGAACATTAGGATCGAAGCCTTGCGGGTTGTGTTGTAATTGCGTCATTTGGTATCACTCGATCGGACGTCTCGAGACATCTCGTCCCAGGGTCGTCTCGTCAGGTCTCGGGACATTGAGTAGCGTGCACATCATCAATCATCAATCTTTTATATGTGTTTATTAGCTACAGGACCTATATAAATAGCATACTAGTGGTGTCTAGAGTGACACTTAAAGTCCATTATCTATTAACAGTCTGTCGCACCTGGCCTATTCATGGGACGACCGGTCTATCAATGGAGGCGTGGGTGGGCCGCGTTTACTGTTCGACTAGAACAGCCGTCTCAGTTCATGCATGTCACAAAAAAGAACAAAAGTTTCTATTGAAGGAGTAGATAAATACAATAAAGGAATTCTTGTAGTCAATACATGTCAAGCAAATGCATATGCACAAAATCTCTCTCAGAGCGACGTCACCGACCTCCTCATTACAATTTCATCCCACATCCAATCGAGCAACATATCATCCGCCTCGCCCACCGTCGGCCTCTCCGCCAAAAAACCCTTCTCCATCCTCGGCGACGGATACATCCAGTGATACCCATCCATGCTCGTCTCGGGCCTCAGGTCCGTGATGCTGTACGCATCGATAAACGACACGCGGGTGCTGGCCGTCTCCTCAAGCTCCATATCATCCATCTTAGCCGCCCTCTCAGCCTTCATCCGCGCAGCCCACTCCTTGACAGCAGCGAGTGTCATATTACGCTTCCTCCATGAGTTAGCCCGCGTGTGGCCCTCCTCCTCGAAGCACTGCAGCGGCTGCACCACGCTAGCGGTCGACCGCACGAGCACATGAGCGCCCTTCCAGCGGCTGTCAAAGTAGTCGAAAGCCGTCTTGTGGTACGCGAGAAACTCGTCGTCGGACATGCTACTGGCAAAGTTGCCCACGTCGAACACCACAACCTGTGGTGTCTCCAGCTTGTCGAGGCGCTTCACGGCATCACGGAACTTCCCCCCCACAAACGCAAACGTGACGTCAACCTTGCGTCCCTGGGAGATGGAGTATGTCCGCGTGGCAGCCCGATTGCCGTGCTCGAGCAGCGACATTTCCGGGTGCTGCTCACACACACCCGTACTCTCGTCGCTCCCAAATAACTCTGGGAACGCCCGCGCGCACACATACCCACGAGCCACTGAGCCGCCGATGAACACCACATGGCGCAGCGCCGGCACCTCGTCCAGGACATCCGCAAAGCTCCTGTGCGGGATCTTGCACTCGTAGGGTGAGTACACGTACCGCGAGTGGTCGGGCAGGGAGTTCCCCGCTATCGAGACCTGCGAGGAGGGGCGGAATTCGCCGTACGAGTATGTGGACCGCATTCTGGCCTCGACAAGGTCGTGGTTGATCCACCGTCCATCCAGCACCTCTTCGTAGCTCTTACAAGCGCGGTGGACGTCGTGCTTGTCTCTACCGATTGGGAAGGGGCCTCTCTGGGCAATGAGCAGGTGTGGTGTTCCGCCAACAGACTGCTTGTAGAGCTTAGCGGCGTCGGGGTCGCCCTGCAGTTCGGTGCAGTTGGGGTAGTTTGGCCATGCGTAGACCTGGTATTCTCCCTCTTCGTGGAGCACCATCGCGGCTTCGACGGTGCGCGGGTTGATTTTTGTGAGGGCGGTGACGGGGACGGAGGCGGCGGTCGGGCCGTAGAGTTGGATGTTGTAGTTCGGGGGGCAGTACTCGGTGTCTCCATGGTTGCATTCGATGCGCAGACGGAAGGGCTGGTTGATGGCTACGATGCTGGGGAAGTGGGCGGTCCAGGGCCCGGGGGTGAGTGGGGTGGACTCTGAGAGAGGGTTGAAGCTGGATGGGAAGGGGGTTATATGGCTGGAAGTCTTGGTGAGTGGGTAGACTTTGTTTGTATCTGAATTCTAACATAAGCTCCCGTTCATATATAGCTCAATGCATTGATAGCTGAAGTGATTATACCAATTATACTCTCTTCGCCTCCCAATGGGTGCTTAAGCGGTTTGTACAGAGATAGTGAACCCGGGCCCCCGACTTTTGTGATAAATGTAAATACTCCCAGGAATCCTACACAATATAATAACGCTCGGATACTCCTTCGTGATAATCTTATCGGTATGCTCGCCCCTGCCCTACACTCCGTTTATCATTAAAATACAGCAAACATATAAATTTTGGCCATTGCTTACCTTGCGGGTGTGAAATGGGCTCCTTTCTTAAAACTCATAATTCTATCGTATCCGTGATGAGGTTTGTCGTTGTTGAGAGTTCACCGCAGAGGTTGAGAAGCTTCGGACTCAAGGCTGAAGTTGAAGTGACTTGTACAGTAGTGACATGTACAAAGAAGATAAGAGATCGATCTCTCTTTTTCTATTATTACCCCAATGGCTTGTTGACGCATATGAAACCTTTATTCCGATGCAAGAGCGGGCGGATGGAATTCGGGCGAGCCAATCAGACCTATGCTGTTGTCTGAGTGCGCAGGACGGGAGAAAATCTCGGAGAGTGACGCAGTGAGATCTGAGGTGGTGAGGGCCTTTAGGGCATAGTTTAGTTGTAGGCATTCCGAATTAACCAAGTGAGGTGCGATCTGCAATTTCTTTACGGCCCGCGGGTTCGGTGCGTTGTTGGGCGGGTTTCTTGGTGTTGAGGTTTACTAGGCTGGATTTACTTTAATAGGCCGCCAAGACATTGGAATGTCTTAGTTGAAGATAGATATCGTCTTAAGTAGAAATTGGGGGTATGAGAGATTCCGATGAAGTCTTGTTGTTTATTACTAGTAGTTCTGATGCGAGGATGCCTGAAAAAACTTTGTTAGACGGTCTATATAGTATCTCCTAAAGTTTACTGAGTTAAACACCAATGGCAAGGCATACATACAAATAGATGTAGTAATCCTAAAATCTGGATCAGATCAAGCTCCGTGTATGAGTGCCATTGGGCTTGACTAACTTACCTACATGTAGTCTCTCAGCCGTGTATTTGGATGCGAATTACTCCAGTAGCAAAGAATGAATACCCTCTCGATTCATCACCACTGAATCACGATATGACTTTCCATAAGTGACAACGCTGTGAATCCCCATAAGTGATACAGAAGTGGCAAATTCAATGGACGTTTGTGTTATATTTCATTATCCACTATAATACCTGAAAGCTTGAGCTAGCCTGATGATGGGTGAAGTTTTTTCTATATACCGGATTTGATTTTTCTAAAAATCAATTCTTATCACATGAGGTATTCCCACTGCTACAAGCTAATAGTCGTGGTGATGGTATGTAAGAACCTACGCACAACCAATCAAACGATGTTTTTAGTGATGAGCCTACCCCAGATGAACATAGTGGGGAAACTTACATTGCAGAACGGGCGATATGGATGTTGAGATGACAAGTTTGTGGCCTCATGTACGTACATCTTGTTGATGTGCCACGAATTTATGAGACTGAAGAGAATCAAGTTGTATGTATGATTGAACTGAAGAGAATCAAGCTGTATGTGTGATTGAACTAAAGAAGCAACGAGACCTAGGGAAGAAGAAAAGGCTCCTTTTATAACTAAAAAAGCCATGACATGACAAACGTTAACACGTATATATATATCATCAAGACAACCAAACTCGTTGTCTTGATCACACAGTACTGATAACAGATAGCAAAGACTGCAAAAACAACACATCTTATAATACCTATCATGATGAATTTGACAATTGTGCTAATGATATTTTTCGACACTGTAATGTTTGCTTTTGGGAGGCGTGGGGAGGAGGGGCGTGAGAGAGAGACATCGCCATAGCGCGGGAGTTGAAGACAAGGTCTCACAATACGTGGTAAAAGTTAAAACTTAGTATATAAAGACTAATAAAGACCCACGTGTTGTCAATTTAGCTCAGCGGCCCATAGACGGTTCCAAAATGGCGAAGCCTCCTCCGGAGTCAATAAAATGGTCCTCCCTGGGCCCTTTCAGCTACACGCAAATCCTTCGGCCCCTCATCGGGGTTGGAATATTGACTCAACGGTTTTTATGAAGCATATGTAGTTAATGTTTACCGCAGCTTGGCAAATTGGCCGTTAATTTGAATTTTGATATGTCGTTTTGACCAAGATTTATAATTTAGGCACTGAGGTATAAGTTTGGTGGATTTATATACTCTGAGCTAGATTTGTAGCATTTAATATGTAGCTCATGGGTGAGTTAACGGACAGTCCGGCGATAGCAGATGCTGGTTTCAAACTCACCACAGGAAAACCATTTGATTAATCCGCAGTTTATCCTAGGGCTGTCTACTCGGTCATCATAAGAGACACCTAACTACAGCTTTAAATTTATGTTGGAATATCTCCTCAGTTAAGTACTAACTTTGAAATAGTAGCGCGTTAGGAATCTGGTGAGCTTCAGTATGGTTTATAATTATGGTTTGCAGACTCTAGCTCTGTTATATCGGGTTCATGTTGGCGGATATATGTGTGAGTTGACCAATAGATCAGAGCTCTGTCCTTCCAGTCCCCTTCGCCATTGGCTGGACTGTACGTGACATAGAAGTGGCTGCCCTACGCCGATTCGATGCTCTTAGTTCCTATAGCTGGAGACATAATGCACTCTGGTGTTGGTTCAAAATGTTTTCCCAATATTACTATAGCCATTGATATAATCCATAGCCAATTAACGGGTGGTCCGGGAGCTCAGGCGGCGATGAACACCTCTGTGATGCCCAACGGCGGTATATAAAGCCGGTCCTTGCTTTCACATTCAGGCTTTGAAATGCACCTAGATAATAACGGTCCATCGCAGTGCAGTCATACCACGTTCATCATATATTCTGGTTACAAAATTCCAATTCTACTTTGGACAACATCTATTGGATTCTAAAAAGACTATACATGTCTATATATATATCCATAATATAACTACAACACCCAAGTCTATATCGCCATCTTAGCCACCTCTCTCAGGCCCCTCTCCAGATCATCCCTCAGATCCTCCCACCCTTCACACCCCACACTCACCCTCACGACCGTCTTCGCCACAAACTCATCCGTCATAGCCCTCCACTCCACCAGACTCTCCACGCCGCCCAAGCTCGTCGCATGATGGAACCACTTCAACCTACTCGGCAGCACCTTCGCCTGCTCCCCCCTCACCGTATGAATCGCAAACACCGGCCCAAACCCACCCGGCATCTGCTCCGCCAGCCAGGGCTCCTTCTCCTGCAAACTAGCATGCGACACCCTCTCCACCACGCCCCTAATCTCCTCATCCGCCGCCACCAACCCCGCCAGCCACCCCGCCAGCCTCGTCGCACTCTCCGACTGCCTCATCACCCTTAGCTCCAGCGTCCTCACACTCCTCAACCCCAGCCACCCCTCCAGCCCGCCCATCACCGCGCCCACATACATCCTCTCCCACCTCAACCTCCCCGCCTCCTCCTCCCCTTCACCGCCACCACCCCGCCCAGCAGGTCCGAATGCCCGCCAATATACTTCGTCGCCGAATGCAACACATAGTCTGCCCCCTGTGCAAACGGATCCTGTAGCGGCGGCGGCGCAAACGTACCATCCACACACAGCAGTGCCCCGCGCGAATGCGCCTTCTCCGCATACTCGCGTATGCTGGTCGCCGTGCCGTCAGGGTTGAGCGGCGTCTCGAGGTGGATGAGGTCCCCCGGGTGGAGGTCGTCGGGCGCGCAGTCGAGCGGCAGGACCTGCAGGCCCGTGAGGCGGGAGAAGATCTTTACGACGTTGTGGCAGCCGTGGTAGCAGTTCCCGATTGCGATGCGGCGCGGGTTGACGCGGACGAGGATGGCGTGGAAGGCGGCGAGGCCGCTGGCGTAGGTTGTGGTGGGGCCGTGGAGGAGGGTGCTGAGGACTTGCTCGAGGCGGGTGGTGGAGGGGGCGGCGAGGCGCGAGTAGATGTAGGGGAGGGAGGGCTGGGGGGGGGGGGGGATTAGTTGGTATGTTTCAATTGGGGTTTGGGGGAGGGGGGAGGGGAGTCCATGGGTGGGGTTTTTACCTTGTCGGAGGTGTTGTCGGCGGCGGCGGCGGCGGCGACGAGGTCGGAGAAAGGGATTAGGGCGTCGGGGTCACGGGGGTAGTGGAAGGTTGTGGAGACGTGGATGGGCGGGGCGACATCGTTCATGCGGCGGGTGGCATGGGCGTCGTCGGCGTGGATGGAGAGCGTGGAGATGGAGGGGGTGCGTTCTGCGGACATTGTGGACTGTGTAGGTGAGTGCTGCTTCAATCTCTATGTATATATACAGGTGGTAGAGTATATAGAGAACTCAGAGATAGTTGAGAGGAGGGGTGAAGGAGGAGGAGGAGGAGGAGGAGCAGGCCTCTTTACGGGTGTAAATACTCCATTCCCTCGGGAGTGCCGTAACTAACTAACTAGACGATCAACTAACCCCATAGCGATTGATAATGATTATTAGAGAAGTGACAGGGGCTATCACGTCAACTGTCTGTCTGTCTGTCTGTCTGTCTGTATGGGGCTAGGTACCTACCCGCCGTTGGAGATTGTTGATTTAGAGTAGCTGTGTAGAGCAGGTCGATATAGTGGGCCGGTGGGCAGTTGTCAGTGCTTCTCCATTCGTCCATTCATCCTAGAGATGCCTCTTTCAATCACTCGCAGCACAGTTGATCATTGACCCCGCCCCCGCTTCCCTTTCCGTTTTCCTTTCTCTCCCCAGACACAGACACAGACCCCTGTCGACATGGCTGTCATGTCACCTGCACCGCGATAACGATAACAGACCGCAGACAGCTCCGTGCTTACTTTACCTGGCTGCTGTCTGCTGCTGAATAATGCCGACGATAGCCAGTAGCTGGCCCGAGGTACATACGTGGGAGACGTCGCTTGTCCACAGCTTGTCTTGTCTTCTCCACAGCTTGTCCTCCTCTGCTTGTCCTCCTCTGCTTGTCCTCCTCTGCTTGTCCTCCTCTGCTTGTCCTCCTCTGCTTGTCCTCCTCTGCTTGTCTTCTCACTGAGCTCCATTTATTATCATTTATTATCCATCACATCATCATCCATCCTCTCATTCATCAACAGCCAACAGCTATTCGAGAATTGAGTGGATTGCCCCTCATCAGGCCATTAAAGTCTATCTGCAGCTAGCAATTGCTCTCTTACCACTCCGTCAAGATGCTCAGCTACCTCACCCACCGTAGAAATTGGTACCCCTCCTCAGACCCCACTGCTCTCTACGTCTACTATACATACACACATACAGCTCACACTAACACCCCTCTACAGCAAGGAAAAGCAGGCCTCCCGTGCATCTGCAATTGCCTCGCTCCCAGCAGTCTATCACGAACCCCTCACACTCCCTGACATTACAATCCTCACCACCCCCGTCTCCATCACCTCCTCCCTCGTCCGAAAAGGCGACTGGAAACCTATCGAGATCCTGCACGCCTACGGCAAGCGTACACTGCAAGCCCATGCCCAGACAAACTGCATAACGGAGGTCCTGATCCCCAAGGCGGAGGAGTGGCTAGCCCACTCCACAGCCAGTGGCAGGGATACTGACGCCGGCGTAAACCTCAGTGGCCCGCTCGCCGGTATTCCAGTCAGTCTTAAGGACACTGCAAACGTCGCGGGATACGATAGCTGTATTGGCTACAGCAAGTACACGAAACGTCCTGCGAGGGAGGACGCGCCGTTGATTAGGCTGCTGAGGGATGCGGGTGCGGTTCCGTTTGTGAAGACGAATATACCAATCACGCTGCTCTCGTTCGAGAGCACGAACCCCGTCTTTGGGCGTGCTTCAAACCCGCACAATGCACGCTACTCCCCCGGCGGTAGCACCGGTGGTGAAGCCGCCCTCCTCGCTTTCGGCGGAAGCCGCATCGGCGTCGGCACCGACGTCGCCGGGAGTGTCCGTGTGCCCGCCCACTACTGCGGGATCTACGCTCTGCGCTGCTCGACCGGCCGCTTCCCACGCTCGGGCTGCATGAGCGCCATGGCCGGCCAGGAGGGCGTCCCAGCCGTCTACTCGCCCATGGCAAAGACAATGCCCGACCTGAGCTACTTCCTCGGCGCCGTGATCGGCATGGAGCCGTGGAAGTACGACCACACCGTGCACCCGCTCCCCTGGCAACCCTTCCTCCCCGACCGCCCCATGCGCTGGGGCGTCATGCGCAGCGACGACGTCGTCCCGCCCTCCCCCGCCTGCGCGCGCGCCCTCGAAACCGCCATCGCAGCACTAAAATCCCAAGGCGAGCAAATCACCGAACTCGACAACGTACCCAACAACCTCACCTCCCTCCGCGTCGCCGCACACCTCCTCAACGCCGACGGCGGCACCACATACACCTCCCACTTCACCTCAGCCTTCGAAGCCAACGACCCGGGTGTCGCGCAGATGCGCTTCTACTTCCGCCTCCCGCGCCTCGTCAAGCGGCTCTACTGCGCATACGTGCGCTACATCCGGCGCGACGCAAAGTGGGCCGACTGCCTGAGCGGCTGGCACGCGCGCAGCGCCGAGGAGCAGTGGAAGCTGGTGATTGAGCGGGAGAACATCAAGAAGGCGTGGTTCGACTACTGGGAGGAGCAGGATCTGGACTTTGTACTCACTGTGCCGAATGCGCTGCCGGCGGTGCCGGAGGGCGGGATGAAGCGCGGGTTTGCGAGTTGTGGGTATACGTTTTTGTGGAATCTTGTTTGTGTCCCCCCTCTACACTTATATTCAGTATGTAAAATGCTAACAGGAGAAATGATGACAGGTCGACTACGCATCCGGCGTCCTCCCCGTGACGAAAGTCGACGCCGTCAAGGACGCCCTTCCAAGCGGGTTCTTGAAGAGCCTCGATAACCAGATTGCAAAGAACGCATTTGTAGACTACGACGCAACGGCCATGGCGGGGCTGCCGGTCGGGATACAGGTTGTGACTAAGCGGCTGGAGGAGGAGAAGTGTTTGTGGGGCATGCAGAGGGTTGTGGAGTGTCTGGGGATGGTGGGGGATGCGTATCAGGAGATTGAGGTTAAGGTAGGCTAGCTATGTAGGTAAGTGGGGTAATGATTGCCGGGGGTGGTTTTTTCGGGAGGTTGGTCGGTCGGTCATGGGGTGTCACTCACTCACTCTCCGAGTGCTGGTTGGCTGGCGGACTCGGTGATGGATGGACTTTTGTGATTATGAACTTGTTATGATTCCTTTCTGTAAATAATAATTTGATATGATGATATGAATTTTTGATGTTGCTAAATATAGTTTTCAACTAACCAGCTAATAGATGCTACAATTTTTACTCCCGCTAATAATAAAATACAATTTGATTCCATTCCCAATAAGAAACAACAGAAAAAGTTTCCACATAAAAAAAAAAACACAAGATGAAAACAAATGAATGTTCCCTCATTCCCATTAACCAACAACAATAACGCCGATCCCATCCCATATCAAACCCATAATCCATGCTTATCCGGCCAGCCAGCCCCCACCTACACCACACCGGCCCACTTGCCCCCCCTCCTCGCGCCGCCCTTCCTCCACAAACAGACCAAACACACCGCCGACGCCGCAAACAGCACCGTCACCACAATACCGACAGCCCACACCCCCTTCATCATCTCACACACGCCCACACTGCTCACGACCCACTGCGCATACTCCAGCGGCACCAAATACAGATCGCCCCTCTTCGCATGGAAGCCGACATTATTGCTCACGCTGACATACGCGCCGGCGCTATTCTCGGCGAAGATGCCGACAGCGCGGCACGACAGGAATGCGAGCGGCTTTCCGACAACGATGGTTGTGACGAGGAGGGCGAGGAGGAAGACTGCGTCTGTGGCGGCGGCGTAGTGCGCGGGCAGCTGGGCGTCGTAGTAGAGGGCGAGGGTGATGATGGCGTAGAGGAGGGTGAAGATGGAGATGCAGAGGGTGCCGATGAGCGCGGAGGAGGGCTGCTGCATTGCGTCGGCCATGGCGCCGATGAGGTGGGCGCTCAGGCCGAGGGTGGTGATGAGGCAGGCGAGTTGCAGGCAGCGGCTGGCGAGGAAGATGTAGCCGAGGGCGCCGTTGGCGTGGAGTGATGAGCGGGGCATGTTGATGGTGTTTGTGATGGTTGTGGTGGTTGGTATTTGGTAGTGGTAGGTTTTTTTAGTGGTTGGAAATGATCGTGAAGCCGGTAAGTAGTAGTGGCAGTGTAATAATAGTAGTAAAACGGGGGGGAAAAGGACTAGTAAAAAGGATAAGATGTTTAAACTGCGCTGCAGTGGAATCGTCAAGTCCTATCGAAGGAAAGTATCGATTCTAGAAGTGAACAAGAAAACCGAAAAAGGAAAATAGTGAACTGACTGTGATTGAGAGGAAGTCCGGTCATAGGGGGGGAACCACGCCTCCTTATGTATCTACGGTATGGTACGGTGGAGAATTTGCAAACACCCCCACCTCCCTCCTGTTTCTCCACCGAAAAAACATCTGCATCTCGAAACCCATCAAGGGGGCAGCAGTGCGTGCTCGCGAGCGCAGATCCTGTCAGAAGGCTAACTGACGGGTCCATACAGGGCCTGTTTCTCCCTCCGTGGTTGATCGTCCCAAGGGTCCGTTTTTCTGCATCTAGCCGGAAATAGTTTGCCGCTGTAGCAAACGGGGGAGGGTTAGGGGTTTCGCACCACTCAGGGGTTCCATCGAAGAGTGGCGATTTCTATTGGTTGGCCTGCGAGGGCGCTTATAATGTTTCCCCCCCACCCCCTGCTTCTCAGGTTGATTCGCTGCTGGCGACTCTTTTTGCAACTTGTGAAAAATTAAAAGCTGAAAATATCCAACAAACTAACCTCGATACTGCACCCTCATGGAGTCATAATTACCGCAAATTAGCTGCTTGAGGCTCTGATCGTCGCAGGAACGCGACCGATTCGGCGTTGTGTAAATAGACCCCCCCCAATCTGCTTCTGATTCTAGAGCAATTTGTGGAAGCAGCTTGAGATGAAGAATTTCGGCGGCTCGACTATTATTGGTGCTAAAGAACCTTCATTAACGCGGGACCAGGCAGGCATTCTTGGCGCTCGATAAAGTTAAAGTAGATAGGCCCCACGGATAGATAGATGCCTAGATCCTATTGATAGATTGATAGCATACTAAATTGCTTAGAGCCTAGCTTAACCAGAATTCCTCAGGGCATCCTTACCCATATTCTACCTATATCGCCAGTATGGAGAGATATATTCGGAGAAGAGTTTAATTTGGCTTTAGCTTCGTCTCCAGAATCCTAGAACTAGTTTTAACTTTCAGCTCAAGTATCACAATCAGGGGATGAGAGAGATCGATATTCAGTCGGTCGAGACCAGAGATGTTTCCTAACCTGGCGCGGTATCTTCCCGTGATTGACAAAAAGGACAGATCAATGGATTTCAAACGAGTCTATTTCCAGTTGATATTTGATACTGTATAGCCTTAGTGGCCTTAACGTTCTTCTTAAGCTCTGAGTTTGCACCGATTAGGCGTTTATATGCGTGTTCCACCTTGCAGGAACCCATGTAGTTCACCGCCGCGGAGATGGTCAATCCACTGCGATCTATTCCAAATAGGTTCGGAAACTGGTGGGGGCGAAAAGCCAGAAACTCCTTCGGTGCGCAGATTGGCGTTGTGAAAAGCAGGAGGACCCATGAAGAAACCAGCCTTGATCGAAGAGGCTGGATGGGACCAATTCAACAGAATCGACATCAATGGATCCGGAGTGAACGGACTCTAATTAAGGCTACGTACCTTTTTGATCTAGGCCACGTATACAGCAGTAGCACAATGGATAGATGGCATTCTGCTCTCGTGCCATATGTGGGCGGCAAGAACTTAATTGAGAGATAGACTACACGCACTCGATTGATCGATAGAACTGCTGGCCTCAAGTGATACGTAATATGTACATCTTTTTGCACTGCAGTTGCCGGAGGTAAAAGGGAACACCATCGAAGCATTCATCGTGGCCATGGATGATGTTCAAGTTTAGATATTTGCACTTCCATCTCGCATAACATTCATCAAGTACTTGCATCCTATAGACGTTCGATGTGTGTATAGTTGATCACGACGCGGAGAATTTAGCGTCTATATTTCTACCTATAATAAGAAGTACCGTACAATAGCAAGTCATGATAAGCACGTAGACCTCATCATCCTATACATATTCACCTACTCCATGAGATATCACTCGGAAAGGCAACCTTAGTCGCCGCACCTTTTTTTTTTTTTCGTTTAATTCATTAATTTTAGTCGTCACACCTGATTTTTTAATAATTCGTTAGTTGTATGTACAAGGCTCTGGGATTTAGTGAGTGAACGGATCCTCACCAGTCAACACCCCACTTAGTTCACTCACTTAATGCCAGAGCCTTGTACAGCGCGAGGTAAAAAGTGAAGGCTGGCAACCAAAAATACACCAAAATTAGCTTAAACAGAACGAAAACAAACATCCCAATTGCGATCGGGAATAAACAAGGCTTTATAGAGTAAGACTTTGGGTACCAAATTTAATATATCTAAAAGGACACTCTCTCAGGTCAGATATGAAAGAAAGTACATGAGCTAGAAGTACAATTTGGAGATTCGGCTACATCACATACAAATATGTGGTCTTGGCGTGTTTTTTGGCAACTCAACACAATAAAATCAACATAGCTCATGCTAGAGGAATAATAGTTTAATTTTGAGCTGATAAGTCAATTCTTGACATGCAAGAAATATACTTCTCCAATTCTCGGAGATTATTTATGATAATTGGTGGTCTAGGGCCACGTTGAAAAGTAGCATTTTTGGTGTAAAATGGGTTCCCAGCCTTCACTTTTTACCTCGCGCTGTACATAGCGCTCGTCATATTATTAAACATATGGTTGTTACTATAGCTATAGCTATGGATTCAAGGAGAGGATTAATTATCAATATCCAATCACTTTACAGCATTTCCAGACGTACGGTGTGAACAGATCGGACGCGTTTACATGTATCTACCCATCTTGTAAGATTTGAAAATGCTAATGAATAACTTTTATTAAATATCACTTATTTCTATCCCTTCATTTAATCACCAGCACATTCCACCCTCCTATACCACAAATCACCGCTTACTAACAAATTCCGCTGTTTGCTCTCCCCGCCGAATCCGGACAGCAGCATCACCACTCTTCCGGACGCGACCGATCACAAACAATCACTCGGTCGCCAACTGCAATAAGCTTTCTTTGATGTGTCAAATTCTTTGTTTGCCACCCACACAATTGCGTCACACTCTGATTCTAAAGTTCTATCAAACTCTATTCTAAGAGTCATTTAAGCTGACATCGAACTCGTTCTTCAGAACTGCAAGAACACCACAAAGCTCAGAACCGAACTCATCCCCCAGAACTGCTAAAAACACCACAATCAAACCGATTATCGCAGCAACAAGATCTAATTGATAGCGACATTTACGTCTTTATACCTACAACTTTACAAACGCCAGGAATTCGGATATAGCTTCTTGCGATGTCTACACTTACTCTGGGCTCTCCAAAGCCCACCGGGAGCTCTTCCAAGCCAGAAAGAAGTGCTTCAGAGCTTACTTCAAGCTCTTCAAGGGCCACCAAAAGCTCTCCAAAACCATCAAAAAGCACCCCCAAGCTCGCCCCAAACACCCAACCAACTGAACCCCCTTTCTCCTCACTCCCCAACAGCATCACAGAACTCACCGAGATCCTCACCCACCTCGGCCACCCCCGCACGCCACCCACCGCCTCCGCCACTCCGCACTCCGCACACCCCGCTCCCCCCGCGCCAGCACCCCATCCCTACCACTTCCCCACCACCCTCGGCCCGCACCTACACGAACAAACCTACATCCTCTCTGCCCTTACCGCACTCCTCCAGCTCCTCCATAACCAGCGGTGGACGCCCACCACGGCCGCCACCAACCTCGCCTCCCTGGAGCGGAAGCGCAGCACCGTGTCCACACTCACGATCCTGCCGGCGGAGCCAAAAGGCGGGCCTGGGGACGAGATGGCGACGCTGAAGTACGCGGCGCTGAAGCGGCAGAAGGAGGCGTGGGAGGCGATGACGGTCGCGCAGCGGGAGTGTGAGTATGAGGAGCTGCTGGGGCGGGTGGATGCGGCGAGGGCGAGGGTGGAGGAGGAAGGGAGGGCGGGGGCGGGGGTGGCGGAGGAGGTGTTGGGGGTGTTTGATGCGCAGTTTGATGAGGCTGTGGAGGTACTGGTGGAGAGGTGGGGGGTGTGGGGGACGAAGGGGCTCGGGGATGATTTGGTGATGCCGAGGTTGTATGGGGGGTTTTTGGATTGAGGGTGTACTGGGGATGGTATGGGTTTTTTGGGGAGTTGTGTTTGTTTGGTGCGCTTGCTGTTGGATGGGGTCATTGTTCCTGTTGTGTTTTTATATTATGTATTATTACTCAACAACTAATATCTCAACTTGTACTAATATGCTAGATAGTTATACTAGTAATCATTAGCCATATCCCAAAGAATTTCTCCGCAGTGTTTGCTTCTCTGTACTCATGTGTTTAAATCTGATAATAGTGACCCATTATGATCAATTCAATATAAATACCAACTCTATAATAATTAATTTAAAAAAAACAAAAAACAAAACTATACAATGTTATCACTCGAATCATAATATGTGATCCAGACACGTTCGGCATCGTGTGAGCACGCTGATCCGGCCACATACTAGACGCCTTCCCGTAAGCTATTGAACGTGTTCTATTGCAATAGAGGATGCTTTTCGAATAGACCAGGTTCCCATAAGCATACGGTGATTGATATAGATTCCTAAAAATCTAATCGGCGCCTACAACAAATTGGGTATCGTAAGGCCATTTTTTGGGACTATTTCTCGCGCTAGTAAGGTGTCCTCCCTATTGCAATGGATAGAAAATGGATAGAGTTCACGAATCAAATAGACCCCCCCCCCCCCAAGAGAGGGGGGGGTCTATAAGAAACACATAGACACACTGTTCTATTCGTTAGAACACCAAAATTTGATCTACCCGGCGATAGAACGCCCGCTATAGCTTACGGGAAGGCGTCCACTATCAAAGAAGACCGCATCATCACGG